GACGTACTTGTAGGGGTCGCAGCTCCCGCCTCACTGTTTATGGCATTGCCCTGCTGCAGCTTTGACACAAATAAACCTTAAAATGGGTGTATCTTTGACTTATTCAGAGAAGGCGACGGTCCAAACAAACTGAGAGAAGACACCAGCGCCAGTTCCACGAAATTAGTTCTATCAAGCTCCAACTAAAACCAAGTTTACGAGTTTCAACCCAGTATTCAGCAGAAAACACAACAACTGACATTGAACCATGAATCCATGTTTCACTCTAACTACGTTTAGTAAAAGATAAAGATATGACGCATACCAAGGGCGTAGGTTTGCGTGGGGACCATGGGGACATGTCCCCACCAATATTTGGTGAGGACTAAAAAGTCCCCACCAAAATGACATGATGTCCCGTGACCCGGACGGTCCGGGACACATGTCTTCCGTTTGTGCACACGTCGCGCCTCCTCCTCGCCTCCAGAGCAACAGCAGCAGCAGCAGCACGTGACCCGTTCCGTTCTCTGCAGTGATTGGCTGTCTTCTTCAGCGCCAAACTGAAGCACTGAGCGACTGTTTAATTTTTTAAAGTTAGCCAGCGTGAAGCAAGTGTTTTTTTTCGTTCCCTGAGCGTTGTAGCACGTGAGTAATCAGAGGAAAGTACTGTAGATCTATTACCATTCAAAGTACTTACGTTATTTCTAATCTGTCAGTGCACTGTTTAATGTTCCGAGGAGCTCACACGGCACAGAGACAGAACAGAACTGGCTCCAATAAAGAAACAGGTTGGTTGAAAGGCTGAAAAAATACTTATTGTGCTCTTACTATCCAAAATGTATAAGTGGGTGTGTTGTGTGAATCAGGATAAACTAGGGATGAAAATATTCCACGGATCCACGATTTACAACCTTTATCTGCTGATAATGTAATTTCTGTGAAATGTGTGACAGCACGTCCTGGTGCAGCTGCTGCCGCTTTGTAATGACAGCCGCGGCGCTCAGTGAAAGCACAGCTCTAACATGGTACCGAGCTCGGACCATATGCAGACAGAACCATGTTGCAAGTGCGGGTCTCCCTCGTATCTCCCCCGTTTCTCCCCTGTGTCTCTGACATGTCTCTCCCCTGACTCTTCCCAAAGCGCAACCAGCGCTCCCGAAATTAAAGCTCGGATACCTAAATTTTCCATTGCGTTAACGATGCATGCTGGTTGTGCGCAAAACACACCACAACAGGTCATTTAAGTTTTTATTTTGCATACTTAAGAGCCCTGTGAGTCATTACTTGCCTTTTTGGGTTGAGAGTGGAATAAATAAAAAAGAAAATATAGAAAAATCCACACTGTTACTTATTGCCAAACTCTTGTTAACTCATTGTATTGAGAAATACTATGTAACTTTTGACATTGGCCAAGTTATATAAATGATTCTGCAGTTCATGTATATGAATCTCTGTTTTTGATTGTCTATACCTTCTTATATAATTTAGAAAAAATGCCACCTCCACAAAAAAGATAAAAGATATCAGGAGCTTTTTTAACAGTTGGAAAGTAAGTAAGAGAAAGCACAAGTAATAGCAAATTATGAATTGTGATGATTAATCTTCTGTTAACATACATAGGAAACTCAACCAACAAGAGAGAACAATATAGGGAATGTTGAGGTAGAAGCAACAGGCCCTTCAGTGCATCAGGCGAGGTTGGAATTTTGTAGGTATGCATGGGACTATGAATTGTTTTTAGAGATTGATTGTATATGTCAAACAATGTAGTGAGCTACTCACTGTAGATTCTAATTCAATATTTTCTCCTCTGTTTTTATTTATTATAGGAAATTGAAAGATCAGAGCATGATTTATTTCAAGTATCGAGAGCAGTTCCTGAACTGTTAGAGCCTCAGGTGAGGGCTATAGATTTGGATTAGGTTTAAGTCAGTATAGAATGAACGCAACACAAAACTCAGAAGCTCTGATCCAATTGATTTTGTTTTAACTATTAGAAAAAATCCTTAACTGCTTCTCATTCAGTCTACAGCTGAGTTTAGTATAGAAGGCAACACACTATTGCAAATATAGTGTGTGATTACACAACAAATTCTGGGGGAGAAACTCTGGACCCCGTGTCAATGGGTGTAGACTCAGGTCGTAGTGAATGTCCCCACCAAGATTGGAACCAAACCTACACCATTGACGCATACCATCATGTTTTAGACTTTAGAACCACAGACACACGGTCAGTATAAGACTTTAGAACCACAGACACACGGTCAGTATAAGACTTTAGAACCACAGACACACGGTCAGTATAAGACTTTAGAACCACAGACACACGGTCAGTATAAGACTTTAGAACCACAGACACACGTTTAGTATAAGACTTTAGAACCACAGACACACGTTCAGAATAAGACTTTAGAACCACAGACACACGTTTAGTATAAGACTTTAGAACCACAGACACACGGTCAGAATGAGACTTTAGAACCAAAGACACATGGTCAGTATGAGACTTTAGAACCACAGACACACGGTCAGTATGAGACTTTAGAACCACAGACAGACGTTCAGTATTTGACTTTAGAACCACAGACACACAATCAGAATAAGACCATAGCGCTATATGTTTGCATTTGAATGAAGACACCATTTCTCTCAAACTCAACATCTGGAGCTGGGACATAGAGTTGAGGCTTCTCTCTCTCGGAGTTGTGGGTATTGACGTGTTAGCTTGTTAGCTGATGTTAGCTTGTTAGCTGATGTTAGCTTGTTAGCTGGTGTTAGCGTGTTAGCTGATGTCCGTAAAAATAGCGTTTAATCCATCTTGTCAAACCACCTCCAGACTTTTCAGTTCTGTCCACTTTTACGGCTGGGATCTTTCATTTCACGGTAGTCACTTTTACGCTTCTTAACTTTTCTCTGCACTACAATGTCCCTGATGTACTCCTTCGTCCCTAGCGCTACCTTCGCTTACACATAGCTATTTACACTCACTCGGGTGGACCATCGAGCTCAAACTGACCGCATCCGCAAACTGGGGAGAGGCGCGTCGGACCCGGTCGGACCATAATCCATGGTTCATACTCCAGCCCGTGGAAACGGCCCTAATGTCTGCATATGTCCATTTCTTGCAGATTGCTCCTCATTTGAACCGAGTCCAAGTCCTCAAAATCAGAATGACTGTCATAACAAGTATGCAAGGGCTCATAAATAAAAGCCCCTGACTTGTATTGTCCATCACTAAATGACAAATATCTGTTTAAAACATCTGTTTAAAACATCCGTATACAACGTTATGGCACAAATGCATATCAACAAAGCCCAATGACCCCTACGTGTACGTCACTTCCGGTCTCGGCAATTTTTCCGCGAATATCTTTTTGCATGATTATTATTAATAGAAACCGCTAAGGGTGAAACTATCTGTCAAAATGAGTTTTATTTAACAAAAAAAAGACCACAATAGACCAACAAAATAAGATTAGGTCCCTTTTAAGTAAGAGGGCCTTTGGTTCATCAGACAAACTGGACACAACATGATTTGGGAATGGTCTGAAGCACAATCTATTTTGACCATGAGGCAAACTGGACTTGGCCACTATATTTTTGTCCACTAGAGGGCGCATGAATGTATAAATAGGCTGGAGTCATGTCTTTGTTTACCTCTGCACTTCCGTCCCCGGTGGTCGCGCCAGCTTTCTCCTCCTCCAGGTAGTAGAGTTCTAATGTTCCTTCTAATATTTGTATGTTGCAACCACTAATGTTAGTTGTTGTTGTAGTGCCGCGGTGTGGCATTGTGCCCCGTGAATCCTTCTTTTATATAGCTATGCTGTTCTGTCGCTTTGGCATCTGGCTGCCCTCGTTGCTGGGGTCCGAGCGTGTTGTAGCCGGCTGTGGGTTTGGGTCAGACAGACTGTCTGACGGGTGACTGTCAGTGACAGTCACCCGTCAAGGGTGCGTGCTCAGCATTTGCTCTGAAGTAGGTGTTACCTGAAAGTGGCTGAAAGCAACATTGTGTTGTTCTCTGTAGTAACTATTAACTCTACTTTAATTCGTAGGCTGGGGACTGGCCACATCGCGGCCCACCGCTGTTTCTCCTGTTCTTCCTCTGTTCCTGTGTTTCTTTCGCATCTTCTGTGTTGTTCCTGAGTCCATCTGCCTATGCCTCTTAATGTGATTTAACAAACCTGTGCGCCTTAGTGCGTTTTTTTAATTTTATTTTGGGCACTCTGCCCTGGCGTTGCTGGACTTTTTCTTTTATTTCCTTGTTATTTTATTTTAAGAGCACGTAGAACCCTCCACTTGCCACAACCATACATGCCTCCTTTCACTACTAGAAAGTAGACTAAATCAGACTTCCGGTTATGGTGCGCTCCTAACAGCACGTGCGTCCGAGGCTTAGGTGTAACTTTTTAACTAATAACAATCAGACACCCGGTACTATGGACTAAACAGCAGAAACATCTTTGAACAACGCAAGGAACCAGAATGCCACCTAAACTGAATGCCGGGAAGACCGGGAAATCTTCTAAACCCGGGGGTAATTCCCCGAGTGCTGCTGAGCTAGCGGGGGAGCTAAGTAGCATTGAGGCTGGCAATGAGAAGGCTAACGATAGCTCGTGTAAGATACTATCAGCTCACTAAGCGGTGAATTCTTGTCAATGAAAGAGTACTTTGCGTCAAGATTGGACGGTTTACTGGGGGCTGTTAACAAAGTGCAAGAAGATTTAACAGCGCTGACGAATCGGATGACCGAGGCTGAACGGAGAATAAGTACAAATGAAGACAAGCTATCCCGCATAGGAGCCCAAACTAGCTTGACTACAGCCAGAGTGGAGGAGCTCCTGCGTAAAGTGGATGATCTGGAAAACCGTGCACGCCGCTCGAATGTACGATTGGTTGGTCTCGCAGAGTCAAAAGAAGGATTGAATATGTGTGCTTTCTTGGAGAGATGGATTCCAACGGCGCTCGGAGAACGCAACTTTCCACAACCTCTGGTGATTGAAAGGGCACACCGAGTTGGCCGAATGTGGAATAACGGAGCTGCTTCTGGCTCACAAGAGTCCACCGTACGACCCAGAGCAGTGGTTATGAAGCTCCTCAACTACGCTGACAAGGTCCGTGTTATGAATGCAGCCCGAAGCGCAGGTAACGTGCTCGTAGATGGAAGAAAAGTTATGTTTTTCCCGGATCTATCCTCCGAGTTACTGAAGAAGAGGAAGCTGTTTGATGCCGTGAAGAGGGACCTAGCTGGTCTAAAACTTCAGGATCTGCGCTACGGGTTAGTCCATCCAGCTACACTGCTTTTGACTGTACGGGGAAGACGCCACACGTTTGAAAAAGCGGAGGCAGCCGAGACTTTTGTGCGAAGGCTGAGGCAGAAGAGGAGCGTGACATATGCAGAGGACGCTGAGTAGAGCTACAATCTTCATCAGTACTTAAATGACTGCAGGTGACTTTTATCCTTTCTGCTTCGATTGACTAGGAACACTGTTGTGATACTGTCTAAAAGCAGGCAGTGTGTTAGATCTGTAAATATTTTGTTTAGCTGTTGTGTTTTACTAATGTAGGTTCTGATTGTAAAGGAAAGTGTTTTTATTTATTTTGTATTTATTTTTTACACCGAGCTTTGTTTTGACCATCTTGAGTATGCTGTTCCTCACATGTGTGGACCGGCTTAGCATCATAGCTAGACTCAACCTCTGGGGAGTCTTTTGGAAGTGTAGATTTTGGGAGGGGGGCGTGTATTTAATTTGGGGAAATACATCTTGTTATGTTCAGGTTATTGGCACTTTATGTTGTTGTGGTTTGCTTTTTTTTTTAAATCCTATGTGTGTCTTACATTATACTATAATATACACACTTAATAATACTTGTTACCCATATGTTGTTTAGTTTCAATGTTATAATTTATTACCATGTTATCTGAACTACAGGTCACATCCTGGAATGTGAGGGGTCTTAACAAATTAGTGAAACTTAAGCAAGTAATGAGCAGAATTAATTACTTGAAAGCTAAGATTGTGTTTTTGCAAGCGACTCCCCTGATCCCGGAGGATCTAGTGAAGGTGAGAAGGAGATGGACTGGTCAAGTTTTTTCAACTTCTTTCAGTTCTCAGTCTCGTGGGGTAATAACTCTAATACATCGTTCAGAGCCCTTTCGTTTATTAATGTAGAAGCAGACAGACTAGGGAGATTCCTTATTATACAGTGTGAAATTAACTCCATCAGATTAAATTGAATTAATTTATATGGCGCCAATATTGATAATCCGGCATTTTTCAGGAATCTGTTCCTATCCGTGGCAGACTTGCCTGGTGCCTGTGTTGTAGGTGGAGACTTTAATTGTGTTCTTCAACCAGAAATTGATAGATCAACTGGAAGGGATGCTTCACACATTCAAACCAGGAAAGAGCTACTTTATCATATTAGAGAACTCAATTTGACAGACATTTGGCGAAAACTCCACTCTAATCAATCCACCTTTTCGTGCTTCTCTGCTACAGCCCAGACATTTTCTAGGATCGACTATTTTTTGGTCTCAGCATCCCTCTTATCTGCCGTTTCTAAGGCCTGGTATGATAGTATTGTCATCTCAGATCATGCATCAGTATCTTTTAGCTTAAAGCTGTTATCACAGCCTTCGCCCCCTAGATGGCGTTTGCAGCCTTTCTGGCTGAGGGATCCAGGTTTTATGGAATATATTGGGGCACAAATTTCAGAATTTTCTGTTCACAATACTGATCAAACATCAGCTTCTATTCGATGGGAAGCATTCAAAGCATTTTTAAGAGGCCATATGATAAGTTACACGAGCTCCAAACATAAATCTTGGAGGTTGGAAATGGAGCAATTGGAATCTAAATTAAATCAAACTCAATTAAAACATTTCACGAAACCCACAGGGCAAACATTTAAAGAACTACTTGAAATAAGAGCTAAATACAATATGCTTTCGGTAAATAAAGCGACCAAAAGCCTTCTGAGGTTAAAGCAGTCATATTATGAACAAGGAGAAAGAGCCAGTAAATTGTTGGCATGGCGTATTAAACAATCAGAATCAGAAAGAACCATAAACACAATAGAAACTAGTGGAGGTTCTGAGACTAGTAATTTCAAAGAAATAAATACAACTTTTAAAACATTTGATGAGAATTTATACGTATCAGAAGTCTCTCCTCATGCATTGGATAACCAAAAGAAATTCTTAGATTCATTGAACATCACTCCTTTAGAAGATAAATTATTGGCTGACTTAAATTCGGAAATTAGTACTAATGAATTGGTGACAGCTGTTAGAAGCATGAAGGGGTCCAAAACACGAGGGCCAGACGGAATTCCCATTGAAATCTATAAATCTTTTCACAACTTGTTAATGCAACCCATGCTTGATATGTACAAAGAGTCTTTAAATAACGGAACTCTGCCTCCCTCGCTGAACACAGCCATCATTACATTACTGTTAAAACCGGACAAGTCCGCTACTTTGTGTGGATCTTATAGACCAATATCCCTCTTAAACAATGACCTAAAAATTCTCTGCAAAGCTTTAGCCAGGCGTTTAGAGAAACTGATACCACAAATGGTACATACTGATCAAAATGGCTTTGTTCTGGCTGCAAAGACACTGCGATTTTGTCATTGGATGCCGAGAAGGCTTTTGATAAGGTCGAATGGCACTTCTTGTTTGAAGTTCTCAAACGATTTGGGATAAAAAAAGTCATTCTTGGACTGGGTTAAATTACTTTATGCAGACCCCCAGGCTATCGTACTTACAAACTGGCATGTATCTACTCCTTTTAATTTGTATAGAGGCACGAGACAGGGCTGCCCCCTGTCTCCGTTACTGTTCACATTAGCAATCGAGCCTCTTGCAATTGCGATCCGTAATAGCACATGTCTAAGGGGAATTTCAATAGGAAATAGCGAGCACCGCATTGGCTTGTATGCCGATGACGTTGTATTGTTCTGCTCTAACCTTAAAACATCAATACCTGCTTTGCTAAAATTAGTAGAATATTTTGGTAGTTTTTCAGGGTATAAGATAAACAACTCAAAATCTGTTATAATATTCTTGGACAAATTCGAACAAATGAATCCTCCACGCCATGTCCCCTTTGAGGTCTGCGTCAGTGGCTTCACCTACCTCGGTGTTAAAATTACTCCTACCATTGATGAAGTTGTCTCTAAAAACTACAATGACCTTGATGATAAGATTTACCCATCTCGATGATTGGCCGTATAAATATACTAAAAATTAACATATTGCCCAAGTATTTATATTTATTTTAAGGTATTCCTCTTGCTCCCCCACCATCCTTTTTCAGAATAATTAACAGACTCTTTTCTGCTTTTATACGGAACAAAAAACCTTATGACAGATAAGATAAGAATTCCTTTATTTGTCCCACAGTGGGGAAATTTTGATGTTGCATCGCACATATAGGACAGTAGTAAGAGCACACAGGGAGCACACACAATATATACAAATAAGTAGTAGCTATGTTTCTTAGCTAACATAACTAGCTGTAGATGCTGAAAATGCTTCAATACCAGTCAAAAAATATATATGTAGTAGTGCAGAGTTATATACTGTACAGTTAAATTGTGCAGGATTAAAAGTATATAAGTAAAGTGACATGAGGTAAAGTGACATTGTTCTGTGACATTCTGAAGTTGCAGTATTGCACATTGCACATGATTTAAGAATTTACTTAATTACAGATAAATGAAATTTACAGGCTCAGCAGTTCTTATTGTACAGTCTGACAGCAGCAGGAAGGAAAGACCTACGGAACCTCTCCTTCACACAGCGAGGGTGAATTAGTCTGTCACTGAAACTGCTCTCCAGAGCAGAGAGAGTGTCCTGCAGGGGGTGACAGTCATGGTCCAGCAGAGATTTTAGTTTGCTCAGGACCCTCCTGTCCCCACCTGCTGCACTGTGTCCAGGGAACAGTCCAGGACTGAGCTGGACTTCCTGATGACCTTGTCCAGCTTCTTCCTGTCCCTCTCTGTGATGCTGCTGTTCCAGCAGACCACACCGTACAAGAGGCTGATGCCACCACAGAGTCATAGAAGGTCTTCAGGAGTGGCCCCTGCACTCCAAAAGACCTGAGCCTCCTCAGCAGGTAGAGGCGGCTCTGGCCCTTCTTGAAGAGGGCGTCTGTGTTATGAGTCCAGTCCAGTTTGTGGTTCAGATGAACACCCAGGTACTTGTAAGAGTCCACTCTCTCGATGTCCTTTCCCTGGATGTTCACTGGAGCTGGAAAACCATCTCCTTAGTCTTCCCCGCGTTGATGAGGAGGTGGTTCCGCTGACACCAGTCCACAAAGTCCTGTATAACTCCTCTGTACTCTGTGTCATCGTCCTCGGAGCTGAGTCCGATGATGGCAGAGTCGTCAGAGAACTCCTGTAGAACACAACCGTCCGTGTTGTGTCTGAAGTCCGCAGTGTAGAGGGTGAAGAGGAACGGCGCGAGGAGAAGTTCCCTGGGGGGCCCCCACACTGCAGGTCAGGACCTCCGACACAAAGTCCCTGGTTCTCACAAACTCTCCATCTCCACAATCTCCATCTTGTCCCTGAGAAGCCTCGGCTGGATGGTGTTGAAGGCACTGGAGAAATCAAAGAAGAGGATCCTCACAGTGGAGCCGGGTTTCTCCAGGTGGGACAGGGAGCGATGGAAGAGGGAGATGATGGCGTCCTCGACTCCGATGCCCGGCCTCTAGGCGAACTGCAGCGGGTCCATCCCAGTGGGATGTTAGAGCCACTGGCCTGAAGTCGCTGAGGTCTTTGGCCCATGGTTTTGAAGAAGATGTGCCAAGTCTGGGATCGTGTCATAAATTCCGACAGAAGACATGTTTTATTGTCGATGGTAGAGACAGCACGAACACAGATACAACAGAATGCAAGTGTATTATACAGAGCGGAGGCATGGAGACCTCCAATCAGCAGCTTCCACTGTGTGCTTGTAGCTTGGCCTTCAGATAGACATAACAAGGGAAAAGTACAGGCTTCTGCACACATTCACGTGTGACCATCAGGATCGATAAACAGCAACATAACATCATAACTCAATACTTAAACTCGGTACTTCACTCGGTACTTCAAAAAACTCAGAACTCGGAATACTTCAAAAACTCAGAAAACTCATAAAACATGTTCAGATCTTTCATAAAACTTGTCAACAATCTTCAGTAAAATACCAAACTTCATCAGTCGATGGTGGTTCCAGATATTGCTTTGAAAACAGTCTCTCCCACTTCTCCGTGTTGGTTTCTTCAGGCTGCATTTGTGTCGAGCCATGAATTCTTTCTGTGACGTGTCTTTCAATCACACGTTTCAGCTTTAGTGTCCAGATTCAGCAATTCAATTCAGTCCAAATTATGTCCAAATTGTGTAATCCAATTGTTCCAAATGGTGTCCATGCAAAAGAGGACGATGTTATTGTCCATGTCTCAGCAGCTCACAGCCTGACTGGAATCAGGGGCTGTGCAGATTGTCCATGGGCTGATCAAGATGCATTCTCTTGAGGTTTTTTCAGTTTTGGCTTGAAAAAAAAAAACACATTTTGTGTAAAAAAAAAGTAGTCTTCTTATTAGTATTAGATAGCAATATGGCCTACGTGCAGGACTGTACAAGGACTCCATGTTATGACTATGATGTGACTGTCTCTTTGTGACACGTATGTCTTTTGATGTGTGACGTGACAATGACTATATAAACTGTGTACTGCCTTTATTCTGTCTGAGGAAAAGAAACAGAGTAAACCAGTGGAACTTGAGAGAAACTTAAATAAACTTCCAGAGTTTGGCACACCACGATCCGTCTCTGTCTGCTGAATCCTAACAGATTTGGTGGAGAATGCGCGGCTCGGTTTGTGCCATTCTCTGGATTGTTTTGGGGGAGTTTGCTCTGTTTCTTTTCCTCGGCGTGAGAGATCGGCATGCTGTGTCTGGGAGCGGAGATTCCAGCAGGCTGGAAGAGCTGTTCCTGGATGCTTCTTGTCGCTTCTGTCACTTTTGTTTTTTAAATTGAATATTCCGACGCGGAAAAGAAGTTGGCTGACCTCTTGAACAGTCCGGACAAAGAATTAAGGTAAGCAGACACCTTTTTTAATATGTAAAGTCTGCATAATTGGATATTAGCTAAATTTTGGTCTGTTTTTGGGGTCTGTCAAACTCTCTAAATTGTATTGAAAGAAAGTCTCAGGGTTTATGTCCCTTGGAGCAGTCTCAGGGTTTATGTCCCTTGGAGCAGTCTCAGGGTTTAAGTCCCTTGGAGACACACAGTCTCAGGGTTTGAGTCCCTTGGAGCAGGATCCTTAGTGAAACCATGGTGTAAAAATTAAAAGTTATAATAAAAAGGGAAACGTTAAACACTAAGAGTGCCTTTTGTTACTAGTGTGGAAAGTGGCCATTTCTAGACTTGGATGACAAAAGTATAAACTACAACATCAGTTATATTCGCTTTAAAAAGTAATCTTGAAAGTTCTTCTTCTTTCTGTTTTTGCATTTTTACTAAAACACTACTTTCTGCCTGTGTGTGCGTCGCACTATCTTGCTGCCGTTGTCAGGGAAACGGCCCCCTCCTTCGCTGCTCTGGCTCTGAATCAGAACAAAGCTATCGCTTTTAGGATTTTGGCTTTTCATTGTAGTTATTCCGTTAAATTTGCTAAATTTGCCATTGAACATTGTGTTAGACACAGTTAAACGTTTTTAAACACCATTAGTGAATAAGTTTTGAATATTATATGTTTTTTGAAACCCAAAGATTAGTGCTAAAGCTGTGCAATTCTTTTTAGCCCTAACATATTTCTAGATTCCATTCTTTTAAATCTACTGCTTATTTCTTAACTTTTTGTGAGTTGTGTTTGTTTTTATGTTTTTATTTTAGTTACAAAAGCCGTTTTTCAAACATTTAAATTAGAATCTGTGTTAAAAGTGATTATTGATCATAGACTTCGTCTAAAAAAGAAAGAGGGAATTAGCATTAGCTGTAAAAGTATTATATTGAGTTCTACCCAATTCACCCAATTCACATTGCAAGCGGTGACTTTTTTGTTTTGACTACACGCCTGACCTTGTTGCTCCTGCTGATGCACACAGCAGAGGAGACTGGCTCTAAAATGTGCTCCAATTCATATTGACTTAATTTGAAAAATGCTGCAATTATTTTAAATTAGTAGAATATATGCTGAGATAAATGTTCAAGTGTAAAAGGGAAATTCCATAAAGTGAAACCCAAGGATGCATAGATAATTAAACACACAGTACAAAAGTACATAATACATATTTTAAAGTTTAAAGGTTTTTTTGAGATTTGAGTCTTGTTTTTTATTAAGAAAGAGTTTCTGGTTTTAAAAAGTTTCTCATTAGTAAGATAATAAGTAATCTTTATTACAAGCGCATGTGGGAAAGCCAAGAGCGCTCCAAAATTGTTTAGACTTTAGAGAGAAAAACAATCTCATTCACAAACTGATATCTGTTGTTTTTAAATTGGCCGTCTCAAGGATTGTTTTTCAGACTCTGCCACACTGTACAAGGGTCACTGTTGGACTGTGGGAGTGGACACTGACGCCCTATACCCACCGCACGCGTCTTGTGAAGCGCTGAGAGTCGCGCAGCGGCGCGCCGCGCAGATTTGAAATACGCGGCCATGTTATCAGCGAGGACCCTACCCACAGCACGAGAAGCGCCGCGCAGCTCGTCTGGACAAAATAGGACACTCGCGTATTTTTGCTCGCGCAGTGACGCGTCTCCCAGTCAAAACACATGGGAAACATGTTTGTGCTTTGAAGACACCCCATGTCCATATTCTTGTCACTGTGTACAATACATGAAGTACATTTCCCACCGCATTTGTCTGTGGGATGACATCCAGTATATGGAGATGACGTAGGGGGCTTTTTTCCCCGAGGTCACAGCTGTGGGCATTTTTTCCCGGGGGACACAGCTGTAGGCTTTTCCCCGGTGTCACAGCTGAGATGGAGGACGCGAAACTCATCGAAGCTGTAGAGCATTTTCCAGCGCTTTATTCGGCACAAGATCCAATTTACAAAGATAATCGAAAGAAGGACAAAGCCTGGCGTTCAGTGGCAACGATTGTCGGCGTTGATGGTATGTATAACTACTTTAATCATGTCATCGTCTTTGTGTATGTTTAGCTAATCAATAGCGTAGCTATTTCTAATTTGGTACACCACGAGTAAGTACTAAACAACTTAATACATGATATTTGTGTATTTATATCAGTGTTAGATAGTGCTATGAAGTATACATATATACGGAATGGTACGAAAAGTTGTGATCAGCTAATTTTGCAGCTGGCTCCATCTAGAGGAGTTTCGCGGGCATAGCACCGCTCACCATGGCCATTTTCCGGTTATATACTCATAGGACTTTTACATATTTAGAGTGCAGTTGAAAATAACTAACGACTCATCAATATAAAAATAACAAGTCAATGTTTAATGTTGCATTGACATCAAAACAAACAAGGTCACAACAAGCAATTGTATTATAAAAAACAAACACATTTTAAAATTTACATTTCATTTGCAAAGATTTCTATAAACTACAATGGGTTCTGTGAAAAGAAGGTGCACAGCTTGTCCCTTACAGATGAAGCCGCCTCACTGGCTCTTCGCCCTCCCATCCCCTGTTGCACCCTGTGTATATCCAGGCCTCTGTCTCTAGCCTCTGCCAGCCACATCTGATTATCTGCATTGTTGCTCAGGAAGTTGTGTAAAATGCAGCAGGAGATAATCACTGAGTCAACATGTTGTGGTGATAGTTCACTTTGGAGAGACCCAAGAGGGAAAATGCAGTTAGAAGTTTGTTGATTGAGTATGTTTGGCGCCCTAGGCCCGGGAGAGATGCTGATGAGTGCGGCGCTTGCTCGCGCGCATAATCCCCCCCGGGGCCTAGGCACTGGTGACGGCAGAGGCAGTAGGCAAGCATGCTTCGATGAGAGAAGGAGGAGGTGGGGCGGCGGAGGCTTTGCAACCTTCAGAAGGCCGGGAAGTGGGCGTCTCCGGCTTTTAACTTGCTGTCCTGGTGGTTATTGGTGGATTAGATGTGGGCGTTTTGCTGGTGTAATGAGTAGAGGATGAGCAGGCTTGTAGATCTGGCAGCAGTGGCCGGGTCTACCACAGTGAACTTTCGCGAAGAGCTTCATGACAATTTTTGTGAGAAGCACCCTCCATCTTGCAGCCATTATGCCGAAGGCACACTCCACTACCATCCTCGCCCGAGACAAACGGTAGTTGAAAACCTTCTTTTGAGCGGTCAGGTTGGTGCCACCAAATGGACGCATTACATAGGGCTTTAGGGGGAATGCTGCATCCCCCACGATCACATGTGGGATGCTTCCCAGCTCTTCAGCTCCAGGCAATGGTTTGGGCTGTGGGACATGAAAGGTGTTGTTCTCGAGGCCTCTCTTCAGGTTTGAGGCTGAGAAAACACCTCCATCACTGGCTCGTCCATAGTTTCCCACGTGGATGTATGTGAATTTGTAGTTTGCATCCACTAAGGCCATGAGAACAATAGAAAAATTGTGTTTGTAATTATAATAAAGACTTCCAGAGTTAGGTGGTGCTTTGATGTCAATATGTTTGCCATCTATAGCACCGATGCAGTTTGGGAAATTCCATTTCTCCCAAAAGGTTGCAGCGATGCTTCTCCAGCTGTCCTCAGTGGGCCTTGGAATCTGGCTCCTGAGCATTAGCTTTTCTATGGCTTCCATTGTGTCCTGGACAATCCGAGCCACAGTTGTGACACCAAGTCTGTACTGAAAGGCCAGACTGGTGAAACTTTCACCGGAGGCCAGGAATCTGAAATGAAGAAAAATATATAACATTAAAAGATTATCAATGCATTTACATGTAAGTTTTTTTCTCTCATTACAGTTGAAGAATGCAAGCGGAGGTAGAAGGGGCTGAGGGACTCCTATGTAAAATTTAAGAAGTTCCCTCCAAGTGGCTCCGGAGGAGGAAGTGAGCGTGACTGGAGGCACGAAAAGGAAATGGCTTTTTTGAAGCCTTATCTTAAACCAAGGAGGTAAAGTATAAGAATATATCATTACGTTTTTTATGTAGTTTTAGTTTCTATTGCTGGTAGAAGTTTAAAAAAAAAATACTTTTGAGTTTTTTATGAAGATACTTACTGATTAATATTTTGGTTTATGACTGTCACAGCTCCAGGGACTCACATGGAGACACGTCTGCAGACGACAATGTCCAGGAGGGTGCAGATGAGGAAGCATCACAGCCACAATCTCCAAACCCACATGACACAGAAGAACGGCTCATAAGAACCCCCCCATCCCCACCTCACTCCAGCACAAGAACCCCCCCATCCCCATCACGCTCTAGCACACCGATTGCAGACACACCTCATTCCTCACAAGTCACCACCCAATCAACTCCACACAACCCAAAGCCCAACGTTCAAAATCAAGGAGAAGATTAATGGAACAGAGACGCCCAACAACCTCCGTGGAACAACAAATTTTGGACATAATAAAGGAGCCGCCATCAGCCCCCCCTCCCCCCCCACATACCCACAGAGAACGAGTCCATATTCCACTTCTTCATGAGTGTAGTCCCACGAGTTAGCGCACTATCGCAACCGTACAGAGCAGCCATACAAATTAGGATCCTTCATTTAATAGGTGAATTGGAAGAAGAAGACCGAAGAGCATATTATCCACAGCACCCACCGCAGCATGCACACCAGCTCCCACCACAGCACCCACACCCGCTCCCACGCCAGCACCCACACCAGCTCCTTCACCAGCACTCACACCAGTATTCAGAACTGCACCCACACCAGCAATCACACCAGCACCCACCACAACACTCACACCAGCACCCACCACAGCACTCAGAACTGCACCCGCACCAGCAATCACACCAGCAACAGGTGTACAGCCCTGCAAGTTTCCTCTCCGACCTGAGTGAGCCACACTTGGGCTCTCTGGGCTGAGATCTGAGTATGGGTCCTTTCTCTTTTAAGGATGTGACAGAGGCCAAACAGAGGCCATGAATTGTTTGTAATGTTTCCAAATGTTTGCTGTATTGTTTTTGGACTGCCATGTTTGTATATGTATTTGTTGTTCTTATTGCTATTGTTATTATTAATTGAGATGGGTGAATTATTATATACCGAGTTGAAATGATCTTTATTGTTTTGTGAAGATTGTATGTATGATGCTGCATGTTTAATGTCTTATTGTTTATTGAATAAATACATTCAATGTAGCATACCTTAATGTTACTGCCAGTCTTTGGGAAGGACACACACTCCTTCTGTAGTTGGTCTCCTGGCGGCGGATTGTGGGACCAATAATGGAGAGAAGTTGATCCATTTGTTCCACAGACATTCAGAAATATTGGAGATGTTTTTTGGGATAAATCCTGAGTTCAGCCACTAGGTGGTAGTAGGCTCCAAACTGCGCTCTTCTCTGGTTCATGGGGTGAATCCACGGTCAGCACTAGATCATATACGGAATCGGGACGGAAGCGGAAGTAAATATTACAAATTACCTATTAATGCCTAAATTTAACCAGCTATTCCCATAAAATAACCCCAACCCAGCCTTAACCCTAACCTTAACCATCTTACTCAGACGCCTAAAACTTAACCAGTCACCACTTAAGGACATATTAGTCTAAAACTAATTCGAAAGTACGAGTGTTACTTCCGGTTTCGTCCCGATTCCGTATGATCTAGTGCCGACCGTGAATCCACGTTCTCTTCCTCTGCCTTCCTCTGAGTCTCAACAGCAGAAGTACTGCAATGGCCTTTCTTTTAGCATGTTGATCTATAAAGGAAACATATGAAGTTTCAGAGAAATGTTGAATTTATCAATAACATAGTTTAGATACATTTTAGCAAAACAAATATGTTGACAAGGCAAATAATGATGCTATTTAAATCACGTTGCTGTTGAATTGGCAGTTAAACGTTTACTGACAAAATGAATGTATCTAAAGTTATACACGTATGTAACTTACCCATATTGCAATTGATGAGGAAAATACGATTAAACAAACAGGTAGGTGGAGCTTCAAGGTTGTTTACTCGTCTCTCGCCTGTCCCCAGGGAGCGTCTCTTCTCTGCTGCGCGCCGCTGCGCGTCGCTCCCGGTTGGTATACAAACGCTTCTCAGCAAGTGCGCTCGTCCGAGAAGAGCTGCGCGTCACTCACTGCGCGTGCGGTGGGTACGGGGCGTGAGAGCTCAGACCACAGGAGCCCAGCAACCACCCAGCCACAGGTCACAGATCAAAGAGCAAAGGAAAATGCCACCTCCTTGCCCCTCCCCACGCCACTCCAGAGCTGAGTGGGTGTGAGAGAGACCGGGGTAGAGAAAGGTGTCTGGAGACGTGATGGGTGGAGCATCAGGCAGAGACCTGGAGGAGAGTGTGTCCAGTTGGTTTACATCACCACAGTGTGACCTTTGAGATCTACAGGTGGTTCGAGGAGTCTGGAGACACAACCCCAAAATTCACACACACACACACTCACACATTCACATTTACATATAGATACATGAAAAAGCAGAACATGAGAAAAAAGCATTTTAAAAGTTTACTCCAATGTAAACAAATATTTGTAATTGTCTATCACTTGAATCAGTATTTTTTTTGAGACCAGAAATGTTCATTTGAATTCTATATTGTCATGGACTTAATTGCACTTTTTATGTTTTGATTTTGTACTGTGTGAAGTAATTACATTGATTAGGATTAGAATCAAAGTGACTAACCATACACAGTGCCTAACTGCATAACAAGCTGTGTACAGGAACTGTGACACTGCACCATTGACCAGAAGTGCATCGCAAATGACCTGATGTGCTTCAAGTGAAAAGACTGTATCTGGAGATCCTGATGTGCATCTGGATTGACCAAAACCATGGCTTGGACCCTACTGATGTCCAAGATGACATCTCTCGAAATATGACCTGACCTGATGACGACTGAGACTCACCCTCAGAGGACCCTGAGGATCTGAGAGAGAAAACTGGGGAGTGATGTTTATATTTCTAAAATCATACACTGATGAGTGCTAAATGAGAGAGATACTCATGATTCTTTCTTTTGTTTTTGTTTGTCCCTAGCTTCTGGATATCTGATGATCTATTGGACACAGACATTTGCAGAACAAGAATCAGCCAATGAAAAACGTCTATTGCCGATGCTATTGCTACAACCAGAACCACAACTGTGACCAATGCAATACATGTAAAGTTTTCAGACATCTGACAGACAAAAACTTTGACTTTTTAGTCTGGGAGACTGAGCAACTGTTAAAATGTGTTAAAATGATAAAGTATGGGTATTGTAGCGTTTTAGTAGATGTTAAAAGTGACAGAAGTCACAAATTAGAAATATGCCTTGGCTCAAGCTGCAACCAAGCTTTAGAGTCACAATAGAGTAAAAATAGGAATAGATAAATGCATCAACCATAGATGCTTTCAAAAATAGAGAATATTTTTAGCCAGTGGTAATATCAAATGGTAAAAGGACCATTTCCTTCAACATAGGCTCACAAACCTTTGCTTCAAAAGTAGATAAAGTTACTTACAGTTTATGTACAGTTTTATTAGATACTTGTCAAATTCACTTGTGTTCAAACATTGGTGAATGTTGACAATACAAAAAGTTCATGAGTGTAGCCTAGACTAATGTAGCTTAGATTAATGAGATAGATTAGAACCAAGAGAGATTCAAAAGCATTTAAAAGCATTTTGATGTATTCGTGTATAGCACAAAAACAAAAAGTAGATATTTAGATATTGAAAAGTTTAAAAAGCTGTCGATTCATCAGCACAGATTAGAGAATCAAACACCATTGTAGAATAACTGACCCCAACCCCAAACCTGCTAAAATAGATTAGCTCTTGTAAGGATAATACTAATTTGATTAATGATGTACATTCATCCCAAATGCCTGACAATAATATCTTTAGATAATAAAAAGTAATAAATCACTGACCACTATAGAAGTGTAAATGTTAACCATTTATCTTACTGTGTTCACAGTTTTATTCCTGAGAATGTAGAATAGACATAGAGCAAAATCCCACTAACACAAAGCCACTGATAATGAAAGTAAACTACAGTATAGAGAGAGTTATTAAAATATATGTTTAAGAATATGGCTCAATAAAAGCAAATATGCAAACCTATTTGTAAATAGATTAGAATAGTTTTTGAAACTATAGTAAATCATAAAAGTAAAGTACACAGTCTAAGATTAAATACTGAAAACAATTAAGTGAAGTGTAGTGTAAACAATTAGCATTAGAATAAAAGTATAGAGTAATAAAAGTTAAATTAGCTTCAAATTTGAGACTCAGCTCGTTTTTGTCTGTGTTTTGACTGAATCTGCTGAGTTCTTGTGTGTCCAATAGAGTTTGTTTGTTTTTATTTTTGATTTGTTTTTGTTTGTTTATTTTTTCCCAGGATAGAGGATAAAATCCACTGATATTGATTTGATGATTGAGTTTGATGCATACATTTTCTTTGTTTTTTAATAATTTTGTAGAGTTAGATTCTTTTTTTTTCTTTTTCCACTTTATTGATTGATCAAATTGAGTGATCACATGTGATTATGTGATCAAAGGGGAGGGTGTTAGTATTAGATAGCAATATGGCCTACGTGCAGGACTCTACAAGGACTCCATGTTATGACTATGATTTGCACTGTCTCTGTGTGACACGTATGTCTTTCGATGTGTGACGTGACAATGACTATATAAACTGTGTACTGCCTTTATTCTGTCTGAGAGAAAGAAACAATGGAAACCAGTGGAACTTGAGAGAAACTTAAATAAACTTCCAGAGTTTGGCGCACCACGATCCGTCTCTGTCTGGTTCATCCCTGACACTGTGTTTGTAGACTGCTCATGGTGGAAAAGAGGCTCTCACATGCATTGTCAGCTTTGGCCGAAGGAGGTATATACACTGCTGTAACAATAACGTGACTATACTCCCGTGGCAGATAGTATGGACGCATGCCAATAACCAAAAGCTCAATGTCTATGCAACAAACCTGGCTCTTTACTGTGCAGTGCTCTGGCTTGCAATAGTCCGTATTCACAAACACAGCCAGACCCCCGCCTCTCCTCTGCAGTAATTTGTCAGAATTCCCCTGCCCCAGAAGCTGCAGACAGGCCGCAGTAGCACAGCCCGTTTCGTTCTGCAGGTCCTTTTAGTTCAACAAGAGACAAAACCAATGTTAAAACAGTAAATAGAAATGACAGATACCAAACCTGATTTAAAAGGTTATATTGAAGATTTGCAAGCAATATTACAATACATCTCCTGTTTTGGTTTCTTCAGGCTGCATTTGTGTCGAGCCATGATTCCTTCTGGTGACGTGTCTTTCAATCACACGTTTCAGCGTCAGTGTCCAGATTCAGCAATTCAATTCAGTCCAAATTATGTCCAAATTCAGAAATCCAGATTGTTCCAAATTAGTCCAAATGTGTAATCCCAATTGTTCCAAATGGAGTCCGATGCAAAAGGGACGATTGGTGTTGTCCATGTCCTCAGCAGCTCACAGCCGACTGGTATCAGGGCTGTGCAGATTGTCCAAGTTGTCAGGACAGATGCATTTTCTTGAGGTCCATCCAGTAACAGCGTTAAATCCATTCGTAACTTCTCGTTTGCCTTCTCATAGATATCTACCGCCCACCGTGTGGATCAATAATTACCACCACCACATTCTCAAAGATAACACTCTAGTGCAGAAGAGTCCTTACTCAGCAACTTTTGCAGAGTGACTGAGCAGGTGAGCAATGGACTACCATGTTTACATTGTTCACAGAACCATCTCCGAAAGGACACAGTTTGTCCTTGTGGAGCGCTGCAAGTTGTTAGCGGCCTTTGTTTTTCAGAAAGGGGTAACAAGCGGTTTGAAGTCTTCAACCATTATTGTGGCCTTATTTCACTCCCTAGTGGTCATTCTTAGCTTTGTCAACTTTGGTTTAGCTCCACAATTGTTCCAATAATTCTCATGTTTGATTTTGGGAAAAGAAATGAACGTCATAACTTACATTTCCAGTGCTGTCCATTCACCCATTTTCACTCATTGGGAGAAGTTCGGGTTAGTCCCATTTCTGTTTCCACAATAGATAACCGTGGTTGAAGAGATTTGAGCTGAATTTTCCAGAGCACAAACTGCCGCTGCAGACCGCTTCTCCGTCTCTTTTCGTCCGACATGACTAAAAAGTTTGATAAATTCCACAAAGCTGAAGTGTGTAGAAGGAGTAATTCCCCGTTTTGGGTAAATAAAATGATTAAAGGAGAAACAAAAAATGTAAAAAATGATTCAAGGAATAAAAGGCGAAGCAAAAAGCAGAGCAAGCAGAGAGACAAACACCGCTCCTCTCGAGAAGCAGGAAGTCTCAAAAAGGGTCATGAGTGTAGCCTAGATTAGTATGAAATGATTTACAACCAACAGAGATCAAAAGCATTTGATGCATTTGGGTGAGCCCAAAAACAAAATAGTAGAGATTTAGATATTGAGAAGTTTAAAAGTTGTTGATTCAACCAGCACTGATTAGATATCAAACACCATTGTAGAAGAATAACTGAACCCCAACCCAAACCTGCTAAAATAGATTAGCTCTTGTAAGATAAACCAGTGTTGGGCACGTTACGATTGAAAAATAATTAGTTATAGGTTACTATTACTTCTCCCAAAAAAGTACTGAGTTACTAACGGAAGTTACTCCACTATAAAAAGTAACTCGTTACCAGTAAAAGTACGATGAGATTTCAAAACACATGAAGCAACTTTTGTTAAAGTTAAACTCATCATTCTATCAATGTGCAGAAGCATGTACTTTTCCCTTGTTTTTTGTCCTATCTGAAGGCAAGCTACATGCACAACGTGGAAAGCTGCTGATTGGGAAGGTCTCCATGCCTCCGCTCTGTATAATACACTTGCATTCTATTGCTTTGTGCTGTGACGTGTGCCTTGTTCGTCGCTGTCCTCGAACCATCGACAATAAAAACATGTCTTCTGTCGAATGAAAGACGCGATCCCCAGACTCAATGTCATCTTCTTCAGGTGGTGGAGAATCGGGCATTGTCTGTAACATCTAGAGACAGAAGAGACTTTTTTTTTTTTTTTACACAAAAATGTGTTTTTTTCAAGCCAAAACTGAAAAACCTCAAGAGATGCATCTGGACCAGCACACTTGGAACAACTGCACGAGTCCC